TGCTGCTGCTGCTGCTCCTGCTGCTGCTGCGCTGCGTCTCAATTCGGCAGGTCCACTCAACGCGCTCAGCGATCCATCCGCAGCAGCTGCAACACACTCCTCTGCCTCTCCATCTCGCCGCCATCATCACCCCTTTTTCACGAAACGCGCACGCACAACAATGCATTCAAGATTCATCGCCGTCACTCTCGCCACGCTCACCTTGGCTTCCCAAGCGCTGGCATGGGGATGCATCGGCCAGGATTGCAACGACGCAGCCAACCAGATCGCCTTTTCGGTGCCACACCCCGAGCAGGCTGACAAGTCCGCCTGGGACCCAACCCCGGGCGGAGGCTGGCAGTGGTCCAGCTGCGGTACGGGTGACGAAGTCGTCAGCGTAGACAGCATCGTCGTCAGCCCCGACCCGCCCGTTCCCGGCCAGAACCTCACCGTGCGTGCAAAGGGCACCATCAAGGACGAAGTCAGCGTAAGTACTCTCTTCCAATGCTCATACCTCAGACTCACTCCAGTCGCTGATCCCACACATCCCGTCCATCTTGGCCTATGGCAGGACGGCACCTTCGCTGATGTCGTGGTCAAGCTCGGTCTGATCAGGCTCTTGGCTCGACGATTCGATGTATGCGAGGAAGCTCGCGCCAACAACGCCGACCTCCAGTGCCCGCTCTCCGCCGGCGACTACGAGCTCGAACAGACCGTTGCTCTGCCCCGCGAGATCCCCCCCGGCAAGTTCAACGTCCACGTCACCGGCGAGAACCAGGACGGCTCCAACCTGGTCTGCCTCGATCTCAGCATCCAGTTCGGCTTCCGTCGCTAAGCCACGCCAGATCCACGCGTCCTTGATCCGTAGACAGCTTCTATTCACAATGATCTTCCCACGCCAACTACTTCATGCCCGCAAGACATCGTCACTATACATTCACATTCTCACATGCATTGCAATCAACGCATACACTCGGACTGCACACTGGAACCTCGGGCGACGATTGCAAATTGCGGGTGGGGAGCGGAGAGAGGCATGCATACAGAAAACGAGCGTACAAAGATAGAAAATGTTCGAGAGAATTCACTTGAAGGTGAGGATGGCGAGCCCGACCTGAGTGCCGATGGTGGCCTCGGCGCCCTTGGGCATGACGCTCGGCATGTTGGGTCGCTCCCACCACGTGCGACCTCGTGTAAGACGATTGATCCAGCCAAAGCTGTCCTCGTCGATCGCGAATCGGTGAACGCCACGATCAGTCTCGGTGCCGTCCTCGGTTCCGGATCCACGGTAGCGCGAGTGCGTGGCGCCGCGAAGCTCCCACTTGCCCTGGAATTCGGGATGCAAGGCCACCGAGACCGTAGCGACCTCACTCGAAGCTCGGCATCGCAGCGGCACCTCGCGCTCGTGCTGCACAAAGTCGAGCTCGATGGAGCCCGTCTGGGATTGCGCATCCACGGTCACCAGATCCGTCTTGCCCAGGCCCGGAGCATCGAGCCGCGCCAGATCGGGCTTCTCGACGCTAATGGCCGCCTCGATCCTGCCGGTGGATGAGCGCAGGGAGAGGGTGTGGTTCACGTTGAAGACGGCGCCCTCGGCGATGATGCCTCCGTTGAGCGATTCGGATCGCAGCGTGGTGGCACGGAAGCTGGTGTGCTGACCGACTCGAATGTGACCGTTCTGCGTTTGAAGCGTGAGGTCGTAGGCAGCCTCGAGCTTCGAATTCTCGTCGATGTCGAGGTGGCCGTTGACCGTCTTGAACTCGAGCGACTGGGCCTCGAAGGATCCTCCGAGGTGAAGTTTCCCATTGGTGGTGGTCAGGTGGATGTCGGCGATGGCGCGGATGGAGGAAGACTGCAGCTTGCCCACCTGAGTGCGGGCGTGCAGCTTTCCAAAGTAGAAATCGGGTCGGCTGGGGGCGGGGTCGCGGCCATGAAGGCTGTGCGAGCCGAAGCTCCTCCTATGCGCAGGGGCGGATTGGAAGAGATCGATGTTGGACGCGCCTGCGTCGATGGAGAGCGTGGGTACGTTGACGTGGGGAGGGACGATGACCTTGACGTCAAAGATGAGTGGGCTCTGCTGGATGGCCACGGCCTTTGCGTAGGTCAAGATCTCGAGGCCTTCGTCGTAGAGGCCCCGCTTCATTTTGGCCACGAGGCTGGTGTCGAAGAGCTTCTTGTAATCCTCGTCGTATCGAGCGGTGATCTCGACCTTGACGAGGTCTTTCTGGTCGGAGGGAGCGTCGAAGCTCTCGTGAACGACGGTGATGGTGCCGGGCACGCTTCCGGCGGGCTGGGGGCGGTCGGGGCGGAGAGAGTCGACGTCGACAAAGATGGACTCGGTGGAGGCGAAGCTGTCCTTCGCCTTGTTGGGGTTGAGAAGGAAGCTGGCCGTCTCTGTGCACTGCACTCTGGAGGTGCCTTTGATGGAAGCGCAATTGTGCCATTGCCACTTTGCCTCCTCGACAATGTGACCGTCTTCGTGGAGGGGCGCCGGTTTGACGTTGGGGATGTTGGAGTAGTCCCAGTCCTGGTGGAGACCGCTTCCGATGTTGTCCGGGGACTGCGAAAGCGAAGGACCTGTGAATAGGACAAGGATCCAGAGGCCGATGATAAATGCGCTCGCCTGAGCGAAACGATTGGAGGGCCAGCAGCGCATGGCGACGCTGTAGCAGCCGGAGAAGGCGGAAGAGAAGGTGAGGAGGTCGCCTGAGCTGGTGCGAGGCAAGCAGGCCTGGATGTGCTCTTTGGTGGTGCGCGAGAGGGTGAACCAGGCGGCTGGATTCCATCTGGTTCGAGAGCGAGCGTCTACACGGATGGTGTCATCGTAGGAGGGCGGCAGGGGCGGGTACTTTGGCGAGGCTGGGTCTAGCGCTGGTTGCTCTTCCGCGAGATTGTCGTCGATGGCGAAGCGGGTATCGAGCTCAGCAGCATCGGCGTGAAGCAGAGGCTGCTGATCTGTGTCCATCGAGGAGCGTGATGGATTCATGTTGCCGGTGAAGGCGAGGTGTGACGTGGCGGTAGGACGACAAGGTACGAAAGCTCAGTGGCGCGAGAAGGGATGCACTGCACGTCGGGCCAATCCCGCCGAACAGCCCGAATCCGAAGCTTGCGGTGTAGCGCCCAACAGAGTCCGCCCTCACGCTTTGGCCCAACTCAGCCACGCCATCAGCCACGCCATCGGAATACATGTGGCCCCGATCGCGCAGATGCGCCCGATATCCTGCCAGCGCACTTGAGCGCGTTGTGGTCAGTGGTTTTCACCACGAATGACACCCCTTGCTCCTAACCGTCCCTCCGTCCATACATCCGTATGCGATCCGCCGTCTGCATCCGCCACCGAGCGACCTGCCTGTCGTGGTAGACGCATGATGAACAGCGGTGTCCATCACTGCCGAGCGTACCGATCAGCAAGTTTTTCCCGCTTCGGCCTGCCGCGGCGCACGTAATCATGTTGCAAAGTCGAATCATGACTTTTTATCCCAGAAGATAAGTCGCTCCTGCAACAAAAGAGGAAAAGGCAATGTTCAAAGAGCGGCCCCTCGCATGATGCGAGGAACATGACACAGCATCCTTGAAAGTAGAGCATCGGATGTCGCATCGTGAAGAGACTTACACTGCTGAAGATCAGCAAGGCATCGCCACTTCGCCTTTGGTGACTCAAAACCATCGTTCATTTCCGTACTTCGTGATGTCACGAAGAGTCAGCTTTCCTTCTCCACGCGTCGATCAATTAAACACCCTGAATCCAGCCATTGATGTTGCCAAGTGCTCGGGGTCTCAGTATACGCACCGAAATCTAGAAGAATGTCTTCTAAATCACGACCGGGGTGCAATTATGTAGGTGGCTCTATGATGGGGCTCGCCCCTTCTCTCTTGTAGCGCATCTCGCTGTAATTGGGTTTTTTATCAACCCCAGAAGCACAGAAGGCTAGTAATATATGATCGCGAAGTCCGAATCTTTCACTGTCACGATCTCTAATTCTCGTCTCGTTTGATCAAAGTACGATGAAAATTTTGTCAGCTGTCTATCGTCTCGAAATAAGTCGAGAAAAAGGCACTGAAGACTCGTACTTCAAGACAAGATACATGAGGAGTAAGATAGCTGTGTATCTTACATGAGACAAAGTCGAGAGAGCTTTGCAAGGATAAGCTCTTAAAGGCGTATATGCAAGAGGTGAGAACGGGAAAAAAGCGACAGTGAGGGGAAAATGTTTTTGTGATTTGTGGAATTTTGTACCTTTCGCGTCGCAATCCAAAAATGAATTCAGTGTCGTTTGCACAGAGCTCTATGGAATTTCCATTAAAGCTCAGATCAACACATGATTAAAAGGAGCATCACAAGAGGCCTCCGGATGATCATACCGTTTTCGCGATTTGTGTTTCACCAACGGGCCTGTTTCTTTAATGGGCCTCTTTCGTCATACTTCCTTGTGATCAAATGGAACAATAACTTTCGGATTCTGACGAAAATCAAGTTGCCGTTAATCTCGAACATTATTGAAGATGTATCATAATCTTCAAAATGCCGCTCGGAACGCTAGGCCTGAGTCATAGCTCTGGATGTTCCATTGGCCGCAAGGTTGTGATTCGAAATCGTCAAGGGTATGGCGAGCGGTCCCGCGGGCACGCATGGGCACGCATGTCAAGCAACAATATCACACAAAGACGTTTCGATGACAGTGTGAGATAGCTCGCTGAAAATCGTCAACTGCGCATGACTGGCTGACTCCAAATTCGGCTGCCGGTCGCCATCCGCATTACTGTTTCATCAGACTTGTGCGAGATGCGTCCGGGCGCAAGGTGCACAAGTGCCGGTCCTTCGAGAATACTACTTGTGGGTGACTATGATCCTGTCATAGCAGCGTTATGAACTGTCCGGGAGCCGCGCTTCTCCGCGATACCGCGTCGTTGTCCAAACAAATCAAAATTCACAGGTGTGTTTCAATTTGTAGAGAACTCCGGAACATCTTTTCGTGCCATCAGACTGCCACCCTGTTTGGACTTGGGAGCTTTTCCGAAAAGATCTGAGTGCCTCGTGGATCTCGTGTCAACCTGTGCTCGCTGCATGAGATGGCACGGATGTGTGAATTCTGCATTAAGTCATGGGTCTTAACGCACGATTGACAAGTGAGCGAATCGTCGGGATAGAGACATCATTCGTGAGGCTCAAGCGTTCAAGTATTTAGTCGTTATAGTACCAGAATCGCACAACAATTCACGCCCATAGGCATAAAACACCAAAGCGAAAGTTGATCTTCATGAATCATGAATTAAGGTTTGTTTCCGAAGCTAGCACCCAAGTTTGTAGCCTTCTTCGGAGCTTTTCTTTTCTAAATCATGATTCTCTAGTCATCCTCTTGACAGCTTGTGCTTGGTTTATCGACCAATGTGCGATTACACAAGATATATTTGCCATCCACTAGTTGATGCCACCCACTCGTTCACGCGTGGGCTCAAAGGTTCAAGATTCCGAGCCTCACCATCTTAATAGGTGCTGCCATACACGGATCGTGCTCTCGAAGAATGAGAGTTGGCGCAGAGTCAACCTTCGTCCAAGAGTGCTGGGCGAGTGGAACCTCTGGGTGGGGGGGGGGGGGGAAGGGGGGGA